AATCTAAACGACGTTAAAACCGTATAAACTTTTACAGACATGATCCTTACATTTTTCCGAGCATGCCTGCAAAAAGTGGTCTCCATAAAAGACAAAAAAAAAAGTAAAACGCTCTTAAAAAGCCCCCGACCCTTGTAGTGGGGCGCCCAGGGGCCAGGATCGGTCAAAAATTTATATTTTTATTTATGTTTTACATTCTAAAATTAATATACAATTTTTCAAAATTAATGCATGAAGCGGCAGTATTTTTTGATGAATATTCTATTTTTTATGATTTTCTTTATTTTTCGTCTTTAAAAAATAAAATAAAATTTGAACGACGTTAAAAAATTATAAAATTTTGCAAACACGATCCTTAAATTTTTTGGGACATGCTTACAAAAATGGTCTTAAAAAGTGACAAAAAAGTAAAATGCTCTTAAAAAGCCCCCGACCCTTGTAGTGGGGTCGCCCTTGGGCCAAGATGGGTCATAAATTTACGTTTTTATTTATGTTTTACATTCTAAAATTAACATGCAATTTTTAGGAATTAATGCATGAAGCGGCACTATTTTTTGACGAGTACTTTATTTTTTATGATTTTCTTCTATTTTTTATTTTTGAAAAATAAAATAAAATAAAAATGACGTCAAAAAATTATGAAATATTGCAGACACGATCCTCATATTTTTCTGGGCATACCTGCAAAAAATGGCCTCAAAAAATGACAAAATAAAGTAAAACACTGTTAAAAAGCCCCCAGCCCGGGTAGTGGTGCGCCCAGGGGATGAAATGGGTAAAAAATTTACATTTTAATTTATGTTTTGCATTCAAAAATTAACATACGATTTTTCAGAATTAATGCAACAAGCGGCAATATTTTTTGATGAATATTCTATTTTCTATGATTTTTTTTATTTTTCATCTTTGAAAAAGAAAATAAAATAAAAATGGCGTTAAAAAATTATGAAATTTTTCCAACACGATCCATACATTTTTCTGGGCATGCCTGCTAAAAATGGCAAAAAAAAAAAATCACTGTCAAATAGCCCCTGGCCTGCATAGTGGGGCGCCCAAGGGGCTGGGATGGGCAAAAAATTTACATTTTTATTTATGTTTTGCATTTTAAAATTAATGTACAATTTTAAGGAATTAATGCAACAAGCGACACCATTTTTTGATGAATATTCTATTTTTTATGCTTTTATCTATTTTTCATTTTTGAAACATAAAATAAAATATAAATGACGTTAAAAAATTAGAAAATTTTGCATACACGATCCTTCCATTTTTCTCGGCATGCCTGTAAAAAATGGTCTCAAAAAATAATTAAAAAAAGCAAAACGCTCGTAAAAAGTCCCCGACTTTTGTAGTGGGGTGCCCAGGGGTAGGGATGGGCACAAAATTTATAGTTTTAGTTATGTTTTGCATTCTAAAATTAATATACATTTTTTAAGAATCAATGCATGTAGCAGCACTATTTTTTTACGAATATTTTATTTTTTATGATTTTTTTTATTTTTCGTCTTTAAAAAATAAATTAAAATAAAAACGACATAAAAAAATTATGAAATTTTGCAGACACGATCCTTATATTTTTCTAGGTATGCCTACAAAAAATGGCCTCAAAAAATAATAAAAAAAATAAAATGCACTTAAAAAGCCCCCGGACCATGTAGTAGGGCGCTCAGGGGCCGGGATGAGTCAAAAATACAATTTTAAGGAATTAATACAACAAACGACACCATTTTTTGATGAATATTCCATTTTTAATGATTCTCTTTATTTTTTTTTTGAAAAATAAAATACAATATAAATTACGTTAAAAAATTATAAAATTTTGTAGACATGATCTTTACATTTTTTTGGGCATGCATACAAAAAATGGTCTAAAAATGATTAAAAAAAAGTAAAAGGCTTTTAAAAATCTCCCGACTCTTGTAGTGGGATGCCCAGGGGCCGGGGTGGGCTAAAAATTTACATCTTTTTTATTTTTTGCATTCTTAAATTAATATACAATTTTTAAGAATTAATGCATGAAGCGGCACTATTTTTATATGAATATTTTCTTTTTTATGATTTTCTTTATTTTCATCTTTAAATAATAAAATAAAATAAAAAATGACGTAAAAAATTATGAAATTTTGCATACATGATCCTTACATTTTTCTGGGCATGCCTGTAAAACATGGCCTCAAAAAATGACAAAGAAAAGTAAAACGCTGTTAAAAAGCCCCCAACCCGCGAAGTGGGGCGCCCAGGGGCCGGCATGGGTCAAATATATACGTTTTTATTAATTTTTTACATTCTAAAATTAATATATGATTTTTAAGAATTAATGCACCAAGCGGCACCATCTTTTTATGAATATTCTATTTTTTATGATTTTTTTTATTTTTCATATTTTAAAGATAAAATAAAATAAAAACTACGTCAAAAAGTTATGAAATTTTGTAAACACGATCCTTAAATTTTTATGGGCAAGCCTGTAAAAAATGGCCTAAAAAAATAAAAAAAAGGTAAAACGCTGTCAAAAGCCCCCATCTCTTGTAGTGGGGCGCCCAGGGGCCGGGATGGGTCAACAATTTAGATTTTTAGTTATGTTTTGTATTCCAAAATTAATATACAATTTGTAAGAATTAATGCATGAAGCGGTACTATTTTTGACGAATATTCTATTTTTTAGAATTTTCTTTATTTTTCATCTTTGAAAAATAAAATAAAATAAAAACAACGTCAAAAAAATATGAAATTTTGCAGACACGGTCCTTACATTTTTCTCGGCATGCCTACAAAAAATAGCCTTAAAAATGACAAAGAAAAGTAAAACACTGTTAAAGAGCCCCTGGCCCGAGTAGTGAGGCGTTCAGGGGCCTGGATGGGTAAAAAAATATACATTTTTATTAGTATTTTGCATTCTAAAATTAATATACGATTTTTAGGAATTAGTGCAATAAGCGGCACCAGTTTTTTTATGAATATTCTATTTTTTACAATTTCTTTATTTTTCGTATTTAAAAAATAAAATAAAATAAAAACTACGTCAAAAACTTATGAAATTTTCCAGACCCAATCCTTACATTTTTTTGGGGATGCCTGTAAAAAACAGCTTCAAAAAATGATTAAAAAAAGTAAAACGCTGTTGAAAAGCCCCCGACCTTCGTAGTGGGGCACCCAGGGGTGGGAATGGGTCAATAAGTTTCATTTCTATTTATGTTTTGCATTCTAAAATTAATATACGATTTTTAAGAATTAATGCAACAAGCGACACTATTTTTTGATGAATATTCTATTTTTTTATGATTTTCTTTATTTTTCATCTTTGAAAAATAAAATAAAATAAAATTGAAGTCAAACAATTACGAAATTTTGTATACACAATTCTTACATTTTTCTGGGCATGCCTGCGAGAAATGACCTCGAAAAATGACAAACAAAAGTAAACGCTGTTAAAAAGTGCGCAGCTCGCGTAGTGGGGCGCCTAGGGGATTGAATGGGTAAAAAATTTACATTTTTATTTATGTTTTGTATTCTAAAATTAATATATAATTTTTAAGAATTAATGCAATAAGCGGCACCATTTTTTAATGAATATTCTATTTTTTTATGATTTTCTTTATTTTTTATCTTTAGAAAACAAAATAGTATAAAATTAACGTCAAACAATTATGAAATTTGGCATACACGTTCCCATGCCTGCAAAAAAATGACAAAAAATAAAACGCTGTGAAAAAGTCCCCGGCGACCAGGTGTCGGGATGGGTCAAAAATTTATATTTTGCGTTCTAAAATTAATATATAATTTTTAGGATTTAATGCATGAAGCGGCACCATTTTTTGACGAATATTCTATTTTTTATGATTTTCTTTATCTTTCATATTTGAAAAATAGAATAAATTAAAAACGATGTCAAAAAATTTTGAAATTTTGTAGACACGATCCTTACGTTTTTATGGGCATGTCTATAAAAAATGGCCTCAAAAAAGGGCAAAAAAAAGTAAAACGCTATCAAAAAGCCCCCGACCCACGTTGTGGGGCGCCCAAGGGCCGGCATGGGTGAAAATTTTATATTTTTATTTATGTTTTGCATTCTAAAATTAATATATAATTTTTAGGAATTAATGCATGAAGTGACACCATTTTTGGATGAATATTATATTTTTAATGATTTTCTTTATTTTTCATCATTAAAAAAAATATATTAAAAACGACGTCAAAAAATTTTGAGATTTTGCAGACACGATCTTTACACTTTTCTGGGCATGCCTGCAAAAAATGGCCTAAAAATGACAGAAAAGTAAAACGCTGTTAAAAAGTCACCGGCCCGCGTAGTGGGGCGCCAAGGGGCTGAGATGGGCAAAAAATTTACGTTTTTATTTATATTTTGCATTCTAAAATTAATATACGATTTTTAGGAATTAATGCAACAAGTGACACCTTTTGTTTGATGAATATTTCATTTTTTATGATTTTCTTTATTTTTGTCTTTTAAAAATAAAATAAAATGAAAGCGACGTTGAAAAATTATGTAATTTGACATACGCGATCCTTACTTTTTTCTGGGCGTGCCTGCAAAAAATGACAAAATATAAAATAAAATGCTCTTAAAAAGCCCCCGGCCCTTGTATAAAATTATGTAAAATGCTCTTAAAACAAAGGAAGTTTCTTTGTAAGAAATATCACTGAAAAATACAAAAATATCATATCATACCAACCTAACGGCACTTCAAACACATTTACTAATGACACTATTATTTTCTTTTGCTCATCCATAAAATTCCAACTACAAACAAATCTTTGTACCTTTTTCTTGAGTACTCACTCCAAGATGGAATCCCTCTTTTACAGAACGCTATTCATGTCACAGATAATCTAGGAAAATGACACAAATGCCAGTTGTGAAGTCAAAATTTTCCCTTGGAGAGAGAAGAATTTTGCAATAATTATATTGGTTTAACAAGTGTGCCGTTCACCAAATTGAGGAAAAAAACTGCGTTGCCTAACTTTGGGATAGCTTGTAATTTGCATCACTTGAAATGCACAAGCTTCATTAAATATGTTACAATCAATAGAAACTTAATCTTCATGTTCACAACCAATGCACACCATTAAAGCTAGATCTAGGTAATAGGAGGGCTTCGTGGATGTTGCATGTATACTACAATTGTAATCATTTTTTCACGTACGTCACTATGATATATATATATATATATATATATATATATACACATACATGTATATATTGATTCAAATATGAGGTGGTGCGGTGAGAAATTAGAGTTATAACTTGGATAAGGAATTCAAAAAAAATAATAATAAAAAATGACATGATGAGTTGATTAGGGAAAATGAGGCATTGGCAACAGAAGCTCGTCTTGCACCGGTGACTTCCAAGAGAAAGGTCAATGAACACTTGGAAATTTTACTTCCAAAGCCGTGTACGTTTTTCATATTTTGTTTGATCTTTCACTAATGTCTAGGAAGATGAGACAGTGTGGGAGCTTTCCTCAGCAGGCGCAGGAACGGGCGCAGGGGCGGGCGTGCTGGAAGATCCAGTTTGAGCCGGGTTCACCTTTTCCGGAACGCTATATGTCTTAAGCAGCCTGTCTTTGTTGTTGTTCCACCATTCTTCGGCCTGCTGCTCGCTAAACCTTCGTTTACTGCGAAAACATTGAAGGCGAATTCAATAACAAAACCGTGACATTACTATGGCCAGTTGAGTGTTGTGCTTTTGAAAGAATCTCTATTTTTACTTGTTGCAAAAGGAGAAGCTGAACCAAAAAGCAAAAGTTAAAATCCTAGCTTCTCCAAATAACGTAAGAGTGTATTGGTGTTTGTGCAAAGTTTCGAGATTTTTACCAACCAAAACACTATTAGAATCGCATTATGTGCAAAGAACTTTTGGGGCGTTCAAAAGCAATAACAAACTGGCAAACTTAAAGATGGCGTTATTGAAATTTTTGAAACCAATAGTTTCCTCAAGTACCTGAACTTAACACGCCGGAAAATCCTTGTGCCATTTTGAAGTTGGATGAGAGTTACATATACGCCGGGTTCGAATTGTTCAATAACTTCTTTCCCCTTTTCAGCCTTCATAGCCAAGGATCGATGGGATTTGGAGCCGTCTTCTGAGCTTGGTTGAGTTTCATCCTCTCTAGTTCTGGAAATAGATGGTTTGTCACTGTGTGGAGAAGTGTCTCCACCTTCATGAGAAAGGTGATTTGTGTGTCGATGCTCACGCTCTAAGCTTGTTCGTAAGGAAGAAGAAGTTTCAGATGTTGTCTCATTGGTCATGTTTAGAAAATCTTCAGCCCGAACATGCAAGGATTTCATGATTTCGTTTTCTGAATCCTCTGTAGGCAACTTCTCTGTTATTGCCTTCAACTACATAACAAAGAAGGCATAAAAAATTACTAGCAATTAGTACCTAACACATTCTCTTATTAAGTAAATACCATTTAATAAATTATGACAATAACACTCTTACAATTACTGGCAAAAAGATTACATTCATGTTCTTCTAAACATTTCATTTTTTTTTTTCACCATTCATTTAGTAAATTTAACTACATATCATATCCAGACAGGAATTAGTTGAGATGGAGTATTTGCGTCAATATTGATTTGGGCATGGTGTAAGTGTAACCAAAGTAATAATAGAAGAACAATCACTTCCTCATCAAATCATTTGACAATTAGATTTTGAAAATTTAATTTCTATTTCAATCAAATTGAATATAGTTCCACAAAGGATTTTACCAAAAGTATAACTAAAACACAAAAGTATCTGTCATATAACGTCCACTTGAGGACTCAATTTTAAGCTCATGACACTCCTAATGAGTCACTTCTAAGAACATCTTATATATTTGAAAAATCTAATGAATTCAAAATGGAATTCTTAATTGGGCTAAACCTGTTCCGTGAAGGACTTAACAAGTTCCTTGGCTACTTTGCATTTGGAAGATTGCCCTTCAGCAAATGAAGTAGCTGCTTTGGCATCTCTCCTTAGTTGTTGCATCTCTGCATCTTGAACATCACACTTCTGCTTCAGGCTTTTAACCTGGTCAAGAAATAAATAAATGCGTTATGTCAAAGACGCGAGTAGAAAGATGAGCTAAGAATGATATTTGCAAAAGTTATAAAAATCAGTACTTGGCCATGCAACTTCGTTACTTCTTGAGTCAAGAGCTCATTTGACTTCTTGATATTGTCAATGACACTCTTGGAAAACACAGGAGTTGCTGAACGTGGAGGGCTTGGTTTCCTAGCATACAGCGAAGATGTTCTAGAGTTGACGGAGGTATGAGGTGATGTTGGCGTAACAGGCTTCAAAGCATTCTGAATAGCGCTCAGCGAGCTAGGAAATGCAATATCTTTTAGTTGTAAAAGGGATGGAACTTGGGAAGCCCTAACCATTGAGGAGTAATCAGATTTGGTTCCTTTGGTTCCTGATCTTCCAGACCGGACTTCAAGGTACTTGACTGGTTCTGTAGTAGGATATAGCAGAACCCTTGAAGACCTTACCTCTACCCTACTTGAAAAATCCCTCGAATTGATTGACCGACGAGTGGTTGTAACTTTCCTGTTATAATTAGAAGAATTACCAGCCTCAGCAGCTTTTAGCTTTGCATAGCAAGCATCACACACTCTATGTGGTTTGCCGGGAATTGGAGCCAATGTAGCCCTGAATGCTTTTCTTGAACTACAAGCATGGCAATGCACTAGCCCGCAGTTGTAACAGTTGTGCCTCTTTCGGGTAAAACCAAATGCTTGTCTACAACCTGAGCAGACTGATTGGTCAGCTCCAGAGACCCACTTGTGAATGCATATGCTTGTCGTGAAATTTGAGCCACAAGATATGTTCTTCACATGCCTGTCTTTCAATGCCTCGACCAAAGTCGGGGTTTTTCGATCTTCTGTATCCCCATGTCCCAATCTTCCATTAGCGCCTTTTCCCCATGTGAATACTTCACTTCTTGAAGTCAGGACAGCAACATGATTTGCCCCACAGGATATTTCTTCAACAAATTCACCCACCAATTTATCTTGTACCAAGCAAGGTGTCTTTCCATCAGAGCTTGGATTCCCTAGCTGCCCGTGTGAAGTACCGCCCATGGTGAACACATGACCTGATGTAGTGAGGGCAACAGTCATAGTGTGTCCACACCCTAGTTGCTGGAAGTTGTAATCAATAAGTGAAGAGACGCATGTTGGAAGAAGATAAGTTTCCTTGTTTCCATGACCCAAACGATTTTTATCGCCATCGCCCCAAGTGAAGAGCTTTCTAGATGAGATACTACTACCAGCCTGACCTGCAACCTCTACAATTGCCGCAGTGTGCCACACTCCACATGCAACTTTTATGGTCTTTAGGCCACTCAACAACTGTACCTCCCTTGGATAAGAAACACTCTGGCGATCCCCGTGGCCCAAAACACCAAAGGTTCCATCACCAAAAGTGAAAAGTTTCCCATTGGAAGTTGATAATGCCGAATGCCAAGTGCCACATGCAACAGACAGAACCTGAAGTCCTTCCAAAGGACCATTAACCCTTTTAGGGATCCAGTGACTAACATCAGTGCCATGACCAAGAAGTCCAGCATTGTGGGCACCATCACCCCAAGTGAACAAGTCACCAGTTGTGGATACAGCACATGAATGATACTCACCACATGCAACAAAACCAACATTATTGATTGCGAGGAACTCGACGAGGCGAGGGCGACTAAAGTCCTTATCAATGCCATGGCCAAGTCTTCCACCAGACTCCTCACCCCAGGTGAAAACCTCACCTTGCCTTGTCACAAGCGCCACATGTCTTACACCACAAGAAATCTGATGCACGTCGAGAACAACATTCGATTCTAGTGGCCTTGGGGTAAGCACATCAGTTTTTATAGGAACTGGGCTCATAGACCCATCATGTAAGGTTCCATCAAGCGAAACCTCTCCCCAAAGATAAACATCTCCTAGTGATTCTATATCATCCGGTCCCGATCCTCCACTTGAACAGCTAGGAGTACTTGAAACACTAATCCGAAAACCATCTCCAGGATTTGTTCTTAGTTGCATACTTGTGCATTCCGAAGCCACATATGAGCCCACAAGATTCAATGGAGATTCGCGAGAAGAATTTAAATCAATAGACACTCTACCATGTGCAATACAAGCGAAATCAAAGGATACTCTTAAGGGACTGCCATTTTGAATAATGTCACTACCATCCTGTTGCGGAAAAAAGAAGAAACAACTGCATTAGATGTTCCAAAAACTCTCTTCTTGTGGACAAAGGAGCTAGAAGAAGTAAGAAAATCTGTATTAAATTTGAAACTCACATAGAAATAATCACTCTTACTACGTCTAGTACGTTGTTGTCCTGAAGGAATTAATTCCTTAAGCCGTGCAAACCATAACTCTGTCTCTCAGCCTTGTCCTTGCAGATCTATAATAGAAAAAAAAAATACATAAAATAAAGGACAATCAATGGATTTATGCTATGTTTGGTAGGAAGGAAAGAAAATAGGATAGAAAGGAAATATGAAAGTGATGAAAAATAGCAATTATGGAAAGGAAATTGATTTTCTTTTATGTTGTTTGGTACGAGAAGATGGAAAGAAAATGAGCTTACCTTCACTTGTTTGGTATTGGAAGTTAAATTGGGAGGAAAGAAAAAATCTTACTCGTAAATTACTTTTATACCCTCAAATTTGATGGAGAAAAAGGTAGTTTAGTAACTTTGCTCACTTTAATGAGTTGTCCCCATTTTCCATCCCATTTTCTGCCCACTTGTGGAAGAAAAAAAATAGTGTGGCCCACATGTATTATTTTTCACTCCATTTTCTCTTCCTTTCTTTTTTCTCTCCTACCAAACAACCTACATTTCCATTTTCCCTCCCAAAATCCCTCCACCTTCTTCCTTCATTCTACTTTTCTTTCCTACCAAACATACTCTTAAACATTTTATCAGTCTTACATTAACATAAACAGATAGAGAAGCAAAGTTATACTTACCAGATCAAGTGATCTTTCACCGTTATTATATAGAAGAGAAAATGACAAGTAATCTTTTTCGGGCTGCAAGTATCTTCTAAACACAGCCTATAAAGAAAAAGAAAAAGAAAAACATGTCAACCAAAAAAGGCTTATCTAATCTAACTATGTTCAAAGCAGTTAAATTAAAACAAAACAATATTAATTACTTTAACAGAACGGGATTGTTTGACTCACAGTTCTTTGTCCAGGGATAATCCTTGAAACTGAAGACAATTTTAGGTTCCTTTCCTGTCCGCGAGAGAACCAGATTAGTGTTGTTTCATCCTGTTATCAACACTAAAATTGGAATATATTCAAGCACTTGATATATTTCATAATAATAATAATAATCCATACAGAAGCTTGAGCTACTACTGTAACTTCATTCTTATCTTACTATCACATATTTTCATCTATGCTTTCTTTGTCATGCTCTTTTTTTTTTCCTGTTTTCTGAAGCATTTTTATGTATATAACATATATTCTAGATCACTGTGTAATTGTACATGGTATACAGGTAAAGTGGTTGTTTTCTTCTAATAAGTCTCCTTTCTCTTAAACACATGCCAACAAAGTTTAACCTAGCATACGCATTTCTATGGAAAAAAAAGAGAAAAAAAGGGGGTTTGAGTTTAGTTGGCATGTTTGCTCTAGAACTTTTCATGATTGGTAGGTTATCCCTTAAACCATTACTTTTCGTAAATTACCCGTAAATTTAACAAAGTGTTGCAGAGTGCCACCAAATCAATAACAACTATTAAACTTCGGAGGGAAACACATTCATACAAGTCATGTGGGCTCATACAAAGGAAGAGGTTGAACCTTTCGATGAAAATTGGAGCATGTTATGTCATGAGCATGGGGATATTTCATTCCAAAGTCTAAAATCATTCATCAATTTGGAAGCACTATACAACATTCTATTAATTTCACGAGGTAATTTGCAACAATTTAAAGTTTAAGAGGCAACTTGCTAATTTTGTTAAAATCAAGAGGCAAAAGTGCCAACAACCAAAAAAGGAACAATTTACACTTAGGAATAGCTCACCGCAAAAATTCTGAATGGGCACAACTTAGGCTTCCTTTTCCGGCAATACTTGATTAACTGGGTAACTTTCTTCAAGGCAACAATTGCCTGCAAAGAGGAGAGATTATATTAGGACAAAATATGTAACCCCAGATCCTATATATATATATATATATATATATATATGAAACCCCAGATAAAATAAAGAGGATTTCCAAAAAACCAAATCTAAAGCTGAATTCTTTTCTATAAAAAAAAAAAAAAAGAAAAGATCATTGTGGTGTATCTTTCTGATCTAAATTTCTTAATTTTGTGTCAAGTACTAACAAATTAATGCATTTTATTATTCATAGATCATGAATGAATTCTTGAGCTAATATCTAAGCAATGAAATTCAGAAAAAATTCTCTCTCAAGTCTTTTTTTCCCTGAGTTTCGTTGGTAGAGCAAATTTTTCTGTATAGAGTTGATGACTTGGTTCAAGTTCTGCTTTGGATCGTCCACAACTGTGGCCATTGTAGCATTATCATTCGCCAGAGAAACCATCTTTCCATTTCCACTACTCCCACCAGTCCCTGTTGATGTACTTTGCGATGCATCCATCTAAAACTCCACTTCACACCTCCAAAAAAGAAGTATCCGTATACAACAACAACAATAAGAAGCCTTAATCCCAACTTAATTGGGGTCGGCTATATGAATTTCACTTTTCCATGCAGCTCTGTTCGAAATCAAACTTTCCTGAAGGCCTAGATCTAAAATATATTTCCTAACTATTTCGGTCCACGTAATTCTTGGTCTACCCCTCCCTAAGTATTTGTACATCTGATTAAAAAAAAAAAAACACCATTATTGTAATTCATCTATATGAGCAAATCTCTTACGGACCCATGACTAATAAAAAAAAGGACATGTAGTAGGCTCATTCGAGGGAGTCTTGGCATCCAGGATATACTTTTATGGAACCCAAACCTCCAAAAAACACCAAAACACTTTTCACATATCATTAAGCATAATTGACTAGAGAGATTACAGTACTTAAAGTGGAAAAAAAAATAACACACACACTAATAAACCCCACTGAAAGCATCAGAGATTTAACGTAAGGATAATGCCTAAAACTTTGGATAAATTCCGTCGAACATGACATGACTCATACAAATAACTGTCCAATAAAAAATATAAAGCTGTGAGGAATGTCTATAATTTGATCGTAACGAAAAACGGTGCAACGACAGGAGCAAGGATGGTTCCTTGCTTGTGGGACAAGGAGATCGGCGCCGCAGCTGGTTTAGCAGGCCCTGGCGCCTGTTTACACAAGGGTCAGCGCTGCGGCGGTAGTTCGAATGCGGGCTGTGCAGAAGTTGCGTTTTTTGGCCGATTTTTCTTTCTCTGATTTGGGAAACTGACCAATTCGACTAGGGCTCGCCTTGGAGACTTCACAAAGGGCTTTGGGTGGTATATAAGGGTTAGGAACCTAGAGAAACGTGTAATGCTTCAATTGGGATTGTGAGAGAACAATTGTATTGGAGACAACAAGTGAGAGAGGACTGAGAGATTGAAACTTTGTGGCTTTAGGGATTCTTGAGAGGACTCTTGTATCATTCTTGTAATCACTTGTGATTGAACATAGTAGGCGAAAGTATCATAATTGCAGGACATAGGATCTCACATTAAGAGTCCGAACCTGAGTAAATTCTGTGTGTCGTTATTCTTCTCTTTCGTTAATTGTTTGATTGTTATTCCTTTGCAAACTGTTTGAATTGTGTGATTGAATCCACTAATTTTCACCACAAAAGCATTTACTCAAAATAAAAATCTATAACTGTAACAACATTAAGAACTACTTGCTTGTGTTTATCTATTTGTTATCCTCTTATCATTTTCTGGACTTTTGGATTTGTTTTGAAGTTTAATAAAATAGAAAGGGAGGATTAGATAGGAAAAGCCCATTTTAATTTTGTTACAGTTCTAAATTTTTATTTTGAGTAAATGTTTTGCGGTGAAAAATAGTGGATTCAATCACACAATTCAAATATAATCTTCATCTCTACAAGAAACGGCGCCACTGTGTGCACTCATACAAATCACAGCGCAAGGAAATCATTTTCAAAAATTCCGGAAGAAAAATTTTCAAGTCGAGCTTTAAATCCTCAAATAATTATTTCTCTACTTTGATAAGCTTGAAATCTCAGCCTTGTGGGATTCTATGAGGAAAAAAAAAAACAAAACAAAAAAAGAAGAAAGGAATCATACTCTGGCGGTGCGGTAGATGAAAGTCCGGCAACGGCGTGGTGGATCCGAAGGCAGCGGCGGAGATGGGCGGCGGCAGAGCGGTGCCAGCTGCTAGACGAGAGGAGGCCAGAGAGTGGCGGCTGGGTCGATTAAGAGATGGGTGAGAGAGAGGTTAGGGCTATGTCCGGCGACGGCGTGGTGGATCGGAAGGCGGCGGCGGCGTGGTCGACGGAATAGATTCAACCAAGCTGGACTAGAGAGGGGAGGAGCGGTGGGGCCGGGAAGAAATGAGGGAGGTTAATAAATAACACCTAATAAGGTGGGTTCATGATTATCCTCATATGTGCTAAGTGTGAAATTTACCGTGCTTAAAATTTATTTTAAAATAATTTTATTTTTTATATAAAAATAAAAATATTTTTAATTTTAGATAAAAATTATTTTTAAAAATGTGTTTGATAGTTTTATTAAAATATTATTTTTAATATAAAAAAATACATTAATATTTTTTTCTGTTCGAGAGAAAAGAAAATAAAAATAAAAAATAAAAAACGACTAAAATTCATTTTTCATTTTTTTCACATTTTATACTAAATTAAAAAATAGTTTTCATTTCCGTGTTTTATCTTTAATTGTGTTAAATCTTGTTTTAAAATCATTTTATTTTTTCTTTCTCAAAAAATGTAAAAAATAAAAATAAAAATAATTCCAAACACGACAATGAATTTCACTTTCTTGAGTTTTAAAAAAGTTTAATAATTATACTAAATATGAAAATTTAAAATATTCTTATTTTCATTCTTAAGATTATCTCCGACACCTCTCAGATAGAAAAGAGATATTAATGTAGACAAGATTGTTAAGTTTGTGCTCACACGCACGAGGGTATGTGGAATGAGAATAGTATAAAAGATTAATTGATTGAAGCTCTTCTAAATTAAAACGCTCTGTTAGAAATGTTGATTTCGGGTCTACAAGAGATACAAATTATTTAGATAAAATTATTGTTCATAACAATCTGAGTTTGTTACTTGCAATTTATAAAGGGCAACTCGTTCATTTCACCGATTCGAGTTTTGTTATAGTAAAAAGCTCTCAGAAACAATAACATCTAACTTTTTTGCTATAGTAAAAAGCTCTCACATAAAGTCACATCTCAACTCAAATTAAAAACTCGAATCAACGAACTGAACGGGCCATTCGAGTTTTTAGTTTTAAGTTTCTATGGTAAAAAATTCTCAGAAAATGTCACATCTATTTTTTTTCTGCTACAGTGAAAAACTCTTAAAAAATATCACATATCAATTTGAATTGAAAATTCAAATCTGTAAAGTGAACGAGGCTAAAAATTGTTTAAAATTCCCCTGCGCAACTGATCGATATTTCCAATAGCATGGGCCTCAAATTCCCTTGGCATGGGACCCTTGAGGCAATCAAAACGACCATAAGAAGCCTTTTAAAAGCTGCTCAACGAATAAAACAAGCTCAGACCTCGTTTATTTCACCGATTTGAGTTTTTAGTTCTACGTTTCTCCAGTAAAAAGCTCTCAGAAAATGTCACATCTAACTTTTTCTGCTATAGTGAAAAACTCTTAGAAAATATCACATCTCAGCTCGAATTGAAAACTCGAATCCGCGAAGTGAACGAGGCCTCAGTATATTGAGAGCCCATACTCATTTGTCTTTGTTAAACGAATGTCATTTTCCAGGAAAAAAAAATGCACATGAGATACAAATGAAGACAAAAATGTGTATATATAGTAATCGCAATGCCATATTGGTATAACTATATGAATGGTACTGCCATGAATAAAAATACATTGACTTAATTAGATTGGCTCTCGGAACACCAAGTTTCAGAACAAGATAAAATTAGAGAGTACAACTTGGGAACATAAATAATAATTTATCATCTATAATAACAACTTGGGGGACGTACTTTTAATAATTAAGATATAAATCATTTGGAAACGTATTTTACGACACCGGGAATGTGGATACTCATGAAGTATTCGTCCCAGTTGATGCTCTTTGGGTCGAAGTAAAATATATCTGTCTCTATTCCACTTTCTTTGGCTGCCAATCGCAATCTTTCAGTGTTCATGTCGTCAAAACTGTGTGTGTATATATATATATATATATTTGGGGTGAGATTCATGATTAAATTTTTTTTTTGTTTTTCTTGTAGGTTTAAAGAACAACGGAAAGACAAAACAAAAGCTATACGTATACAAGGATCAATACAATTAATACTTACACTCCTTTGAAGAACAAGTAAGGCCGGTAAAGTTCCACCAATCGCATCACAAATTGGATCTTTCTATTGAGGTCGAGATACATGCCTTGGAAATATTGGCAAAATGCTGTGTTCACCAATTCCAATCCCTATTATCGAAGCAAATCCAAAGACCCAAAAAAAAATTAAAAAAAATAAATAAAAGAAAAGATCGTTATCATAATAAGATACATTTTGACCAAATATCCCTATATAATTTGACATCCCTAATTTTGTTTGAGATATGCTTATACACTTGTGAAAATAAGAATGGATATGTGAAAAATGATCGTTTTGAACCTTTTTAAGTAAACGATATTTGTTTTGTTCAATTAAGAACAAGAACGTTTTAAAAATGGTTGATCAGTAATCGTCTGATTTTTGAGTTGTCATTTATTGACTCGTTGATTTATTATTGATTGACTAATATAATTCAATAATTTATCGGGATTAACCATCATAAATCGATAATAATAAACTGGTTTACTAATGACAAACCATGTGGTATATCAACGACTGACCACCGTAAAAATGCCATTAATTAAAAAAGGGGTGACCGAAACTGACCATCCACCTAATTTTCACGATAAGATTGTTACAAACCTTCAAGAAGAGCAAGTAACGAACGCTCATGTATCTTCGGAAGCTGGCCATGTCGCCCAAGACCAAGACCTTGCGAACCTTGATTGGCTTTCCATCCTTGTTAATCCAAGGCTTCTTAGAGAAGTAACGGAAGCCATAATCCTGCAGATTACTGTATCTTACAGGATTTCTCACTGAAGATCCCACTTGATATATTACATTTTCGGAACTAGGTTGATTGGCATGAGCTGCTATTGCCACTATCGTTGCATTCACCACAAGGTCAGCAGGTATCTGCATTATCACTTCCAAAATTTCAGCTTAATTTGTTGTGATTAATTGAACAATGTTAACAACAATAATCAATACCGTCCGATTAATTTGTGTATAATCCGCCCGGATATAATTAGGCACGATCGGCGGTTTAACAGTTTTTTCTTTTTCTTTTTTTTTTTCTTTTTTTTCCCTAAACTCACCACATCAACAACCGCCTCCAAATCGCCAAGAAAACATGTTAGTTTTCCTTTGCCATATCCAACAGCAAGGCTGTCAATGGTTCTGCAAGAAGAGATTCAACACACATTGGATAAATTAAGGTCAAATCTGGTTGCATTTAAATGATCAAGTTATGATTCAACGATCAATTATTTATTTCATTATTTCATTTACATTGTCAAGCGTATCAAGTATAGAAAGTCACACGACAACTAAGTTGGTAGCAATTCTAAATATGATCAATAAAAATAAAAATAGGAAAACCTTAAGTCTCTAGGTGATTTTTACACTTATAGTATAACAAAAAGTTCATTTTTGTCCCCTCTCTAGTATTAGGTATTAAACATGAACTAATGGCAAAAGTCACGATCAAAGAAATAGTGTTAGTCCGATTCTCCTAAAGCTAATTAGTACATCATTAAAGTTCTAATTGATAGAACTAAAAAGTAAGAATTATTGACAAAAAAAAATAATAATAATAATATATATATATATATACTAGAAAGTGCTATTATAATTAAGATTAATTACAGTTTTATGCAATGTCCCCGTGCCATCAATTATTAAAAAAAAGAAATAATAACAACTAAAATTCAATTATTTTCTCATTTTTTTCGCTAATTCGAGTTACCTTAGACCTTCAACCCAACCAGGAAAGGGTTCTTTGTAAGTGCTCGTAATAATTGTAGGGCGGATAATGACCACATTTACGTTTTCTTTTAGATGTCCCAGCACCATCTCTCCCATTGCCTTCGTAAATACATATGTGTTTGGCCATCCGTATTTGTTAGCCCTGACAAAGATTTAACAAATAAATTTTTGTTAGAATCAAATAGCATAATTAATAAGGTTGAGAATAATACATATATATATATATATATATATTATATGTATCGTGTACATATCAATCGTCAATATAAATTTTCCGAGTTGCCGCTTCTCTTCCGTTTATTTTCAAGAAAATGTCAAGTCATCAGTAATGATGAATAATATATAATTGCACACAAGAAATATATAAATAATAATTAAATACTTTTTAAGTTAAAATAAAATAAGTGGCCATGATATTTTGCTAAATGTGTTGACCGAAAATAAGGTCAAAAACAAATTTCGTACGCAGTAGAGGCGTAATAATGCCATTGCTGATATACTACTATATTATATTCCATTGCATTAATTCTTATGACGTACTGTTGGGGCAATATGTTTGAGGAAAAAATAAATAAAAAATAATTAACAAAAGAGTGGGGGAAAAAAAAGTTGGGACCATATAGGATGTTAATAATGTAACCGTAGTGATCGTTTTTTCTTTTGCTCTGGCTAAGCGAAATAATAGAAGAAATTAGGAGAATTAACTTGTAAGTGAATTTTTGCTTCGTTTGGTTCAAAGATTCGTCTCTGATTTTGAATCATAATTCTTGATTCTCTACAGTGTTTTTCTCTCATAAAAAATTTAAATTTCAAAAATCAAAATCATGAATCATGATTATGAATCCCTCAACGTCCACGAAATTTCCCTCATAGCAGTTTTTTTTTTTTTTTTTTAACCAAAAACTGTAGGGAGGGACTAGGGGTAGTAGCTAATCTTTTAAGACGTGAGCATTAAGAGCTTCACAGGCTAAGAAATTTTTACAATTAAGATATAATTATTTATATCGTGAGACGAAATATGTCATTTTAACTTTAATAAGGCCACGGAGTTGATGATCACCTTAGACTAGTTAGAATTGAAAAATGTTATAAATGTGTCTAAAGATTGGGCCAATTAAAGGGGCTATTGTTTTTTTTTTTTTTTCGGGGACATCAAGCAAAATCAACACCTAATGGGCGGATGAAACGAGGAGAACCCTAATAATGCAATTGAAGAGCCGAAAACATATAATAACCGATTAATCTTAATTAAGCTTCTAATCTTCTTTGCAACACGAAAACGAGGGACAAGAAAACGTCAAAACATGGGACAAAACTTCGAATCCTGATATTAATTACTTGTTATAACCTTAACCTGCATACTAAAAACAAACCAAATAGATAGGATAGGAACAGGATGATATAACGACATCCAACTGCTAATTCAAAGCACCAATATAGAGCTGTCAGCCGTTGTGCATTTAAATGAGAGGTAGGGCCCATTGTGGTAATCAGGCATGGCGCATACATATGTTCTTAGAGATTTAATTTTTGTTAGTAAAAATAAAAAAAATAAAAAAAAATTGATAACTAAACAATGTAAAAAACTACTATTCGGAGATTTCTACGGTAGAATTTGAATAAATAAACTACGAAAGTTTAGGATTCGTTTGGTACGATGATTTAAAGGACGTTTGGAAAGGAGATTCATGTCATGTTTCGAATCATGGTTCGTGACTCGCTACAGTATTTTCTCTCATAAAAAATACACGTAAGAGATAATAGTTCTGAATTATGGTTCTGAATCCATCAACCAAACATCCACTTAAATTAGAGTGATTCTAATTATGATTCTGAAATCAGAACTATGATTCATGATTTTGGGTTCAAATCATGATTCTGAAACTATGATTCTGAATTAGGGGTTTGAATCACCTTGAATTAAGAGGGGTGTGGTTTTAGAATCATGATTTGAGCTAGTTTAAAACATCACATCAGATTCTGAATCATGATTCAGAATCATCCAAACTAAACACTGATTCTGAATCATGATTAGAATGTAAATAAAGACTGATTCTGAATCAGGATCCAGAATCATAATACTGGATCTATCTACCAAACGTACCCTTATTGTTTTTAACTATCAAATTCTGGTTAAAAAGTACCTGTTTGGTAACTGTTTTCAAATTTAATGTGATGTTTATTAGATCTTACGGTTAGAAACAGACACTTATACTGCAAGAGGACCCCTACTATTAAAATCCTGACTTCATGCCAAAAATAAATAAAAATAAATAAATCTAATGGGGGTTGCTGATTTTAACAACACATCTTTCTAGCTGAAAGTATGTGGAGGTTTTTCTCACAGTTTCAGAGTAATAAATATTGGAGGTGAAGACTCAGGACTGGACCCAATTTGTTGGGTCATTGTCAGTGTCAACCATATCCTTTTAATTAAAAGCTTGTTCACCTACTTACAATTACTATTGGATGCCACACCTTTTTTCTGAATATATAAGTGGGAGAAAAAAACTTTGCAAAATTGAATTTGTTGGTTGAGTTTGGTGGAGAGTCAATTATACGATATAATAAATAATAAATGTATGTAAACAGAGCCCGCTACGGCCTTCATTAGTTTTCATTTAATTGCCTCAAAAAATCAGAAAGTGCAGTAAATCAAGAAACTTAGGTGATGTTTGGTAGATTGATTCGTTCCTTGATTTGAATCATGGTTCGTGGTTCGCTACAGTATTTTTTCTCATAAAAAAATACACATAAATAAAAAATAATTCTAATTACATGGTTCTAATTCATGAACCAAACGCACCCTTAATTTAGAAGCCCCACTAAACGACAAAAACAACTTTCATCTTTTTCCACCTCCCCTTTTGCAATTATAGGGTGTATATTTTTGGAACTCAATCGCCTTGTGAAATTTTGATGTTTCAAAATTATATTTAATCCATCACGCTATTTTTTTATAAAAAAAAAAAAATTCAATATTTCTATGTTTTAATATTTAATTCTACTAAATAATATGTCAAAATTTGATTATTTTAGACACATGAGATGCCAAAAGTTGAATAGACAATCTCAAATTTTATAATTCATATATGTATATATAATATATATTTATATGTGTATATTCGATCAAGCTAGGATGAAATCCTTCCATTGGACCGGCTCTTCATATGATAAGACTTACGTTATACTTAAGAGATAAAAGTTATTGCGTTTCATAACTTTTGGTTTGGTTTTTGTCATTTTGCACCTAGAAATTAAGGGCACGTTCTTTTGTTCAAAAAACTCAAAAAAAGACAACTCAAGTTTCAACTTTATTTAAGTTCACGTTCTTTTAAATTTCAACTTTATTCAATTTTACTCAACTTTATTCAAATTCTAACTTCAACTCAAGCTATAACTCAAATTCAACTCAAAAACGACACTTAAGTTATACTCCAAAAGAATAACCCCTAAAATGTTACCCGTCACCTTATGTTTGTTATCCCCCCAACTATAAAATTGCCCATCAATATTCTACGAATTGGGGAGACCTTTTTATTTTTTTTATTTTTTTATTTTATTTTATTTTTTTGGCCTTTTTAATGAATAGAAGAAAGGGAGGGATGAAGAACTAGCATCAAATCACTTTAGAATGCACTAATTAAAGCAACTATCGTGTATTAAAATCTCGAAGGCACCAAATAATAACTTAAAAGCAAAGACCTAAAAATATATTTAAAAAAATAACTGTGATTAGTTCTACCTGATATTTTAGAACTCTAAATATCCTCTTCTAATACTTTCTAAAAAAGATCTAAAGGAGAAAAAAAAAATCCGAAGTGAAAAAAATACGGTGCCAATAAATAAATAAATATGTGTATAAATATGTGGACATCTAAGAGTGTCACTTTTCTTTGCAATTCAATGGGCTTTTTTATTTTCCTTTAATTTTCTCTAAAGTGCTACTCACTTTTTCATTATAATATTTCATCATGGTAGCAAAAATATCAAAAGGAATCCCTAAAAAATATATCAAAAGGAAATATATATATATATATATATATGTGTGTGTGTACATAATTAAAGGCTATCTATAATGGATATGGGTGAGGATTCTTCCAGGATTGAGTAAATTTAAAGAAATAGCAAACATTTTGAGATTTTATCCCTCTCTCTCTCTCTCTCTCTCTCTCTCTCTCTCTCTCTCTCTCTCTCTCTCTCTCTCTCTCTCTCTCATATATTTACACACACACACATGCGGAATTGCATTCTATATATATATAGAAATTGTCTCCGGTCAGACACTTGAAAAGTGCTTGACCGGAACGGCAGTTGTATAATTATGTATAAATTGTGTATATTTACATGTAAGTCGTGTATATTTACATGTAAATTCGTATATGTTAAGTCATAAGAAACGACAATATATATTAATCTTCAAAACATGTATTTTTTATAGTAATTAGTGAACACATAGCATGAAAATATGTATATTAACTGATTTGTTATATTTTATATAAATATACATAAATTACATTAAATATACATAATTTACATATAAATATACACGATTTATATAAAAATATATAACTACCGTTCCGGTCAGACACTTTCTAAGTGCCTGACGGGAAACCTTACCTATATATATATATTACATGTACTGACCGTAATTGTCTATTTCTAAGTCCCACTTGTAACCTGGTAGCTACGTGGAACGGACTGTCAAATATGGTTATTTATTATCACATAGTGATCAAAGACACCGAAACTGTCCACGTAATTAAATTCTAACATGCATTGCACATTGTACTAACTTTCTATATCTTTATGCACATAGATAAAAGCATGATATCTAATGCATCATGTCACGAGAAAAATGAGGCAAGACTTTGTCCGCGTAAGTCCACATGGGGGTGTGGCAAATAATTAGCTATTAATTAACTTAATTAATTCAACTTAGACGCATGAATACTATAAAAATGACAAAAGAAAAATTGTTAGGCCTAATAAGAAGTATTGAGGCCATCTGTTATTTTTATAATACGAGACTCGTTTTTTTATTAGTGTATAGTGTTGGACACTACTAATATCTCGTTGTCCCTACCACGGATTCTTCCTAAAAAAAAATGGTTCTTGGTAGATTTTGGTAAAAGCTAAGAGTGTTTGGTACTATTCTATGGCTCACCCATTTGGGGCATAATTTCAAGTATGCCACGTGACTTTCATAGTGTGCGATCCCGTGATCATAATTATATATATATATATAGCATGTAAAAGGGTTCTTTCTTGGAGATTCAAAATTTAGTTTTGTGTAACCCCAAAGAAACAAGAGATGGAAAATATGCCATATATAGACGTACAAAGCCAAAATATGACAAACCTTTGAATGCCAAAATCTTTCATTGCCAAAGTGATTTCTGCTTCTGAAGCTTCTTCTGCCTGAAGTTGTTTTAGCTTTGCCTCCACAAGTCTCACTTCGTTGTCTATGTCTAACCCGGTGGCCCCATTGAGAGTGTCACCCATGTGATATGGATTCTCAAGAATGAGTCCCCCCTTTTCCCCAGAAACATAAGCTGATGAAAAAAAAACGGCCGCAAAAATATATATTTTTTTTTTTTTTCCTTTTTTTTTTAACTCAGAGTCGCTTTCCTCCAATTGAGTTGGAAAACTGTATATATATCATTTCATTTTTTTTTCTGGAATGGAAATGTATCATTAAGATTGGTATATGGGTTTAAATTAGAATTTAAACCAGGGTTTTTAATTATAATTTTTGAATTTAAATTTTTTTTTTTAGAGAAAAACACCGTAACAAAACTAAAATTATATACTAAACACTGCTTGATATTTTCTTTGATTAATACACTTAATCTAATATATCACGTTACGATCTTTCCGTATACCATGATGTCATTGTCATTTAGTGGTCAAGGTAATTAGTAAAACTATTTAGACCGACCGGTTTCAACCAGAAAAAATTTAAGTAACAAAGCTAACTAATAAGTTGATATTTAATATTTTTAGTTCAGCGCTATAAACTAACAATCAAATAACATATTAAAGATCTTTAAGCTAAAAGTAACACAGAAATGAAATCTTAAGATCTCAATACGAAATGAAAATAAAATATTGTTATCAAGATCTAGTCAAAAGATGAATATATATATATATATATGTATATATAAAAACTGAAGATTTTTTGAACATATATGCTGACCTGTGGATACATGGACTAGGATCTTTAATTTTTGACACTGCTTGGCAAAGTTCAAACAATGCTTAACCCCCACTGTGTTGAGGAAGAGTGAGATATCATATCTGCAAGAGAAAATTAATGGTATCTTTCTTTTCATTTTTTTTATTATTATATAATAATTTCATTTAATGACATATAGAAATCATAAATCTCATATCATTACGTACCTCTCATCGAAATTGGTCGTTGCAGCCAAATTAACAATCACGTCTAATTGATTTAACATTTCTTCCTTTAATTTTAAGTCCTTCAAGCCCAAGTCCTCGCGAGTAATGTCTCCCGCCATTACACTGAGCTTTTCTCGGACGAAGGTGCCAAAACTTGCTCCCAATCTTTCCTTCAACACTTTAAATAAATCTTTGCCAATGATCTGTAAAAATCCATATCAAATCAAAGTAGATAATTAAGCAAATAAATGAAGACGACAAACTTATATATTACTCCTAATGTGGTGTCGGAAAAAAAGGAAAAAAAAAAAAAAAAGAACGAAAAGGAAAATAGAGGCTCTTTTTTTTTTTTTATTCAAGATGGGAATAGTGAGACATGTCCCAATTATTATTGGCACCTAATCACAAATCCATTGTTTTTCTGTCATATTTATTATATATGAACATAAAAAAAAAAGAAAAAAAAAAGATTGGAGTTCAAATTAATGTTATATATGCTAATTGGACACTTGCCATCTACATGTGTTGTAATTTGTTTATGAGCATAGTTTGATTGATTATCAAATGTATATATTTGTGATACCTCATTGTTCAAACGTTGTGTGGCCGATTTCTCATCATTAGCTCTTAAAAGAAGATAGAGCTTCTTCACCTTGGGTTGAGCCCTTAGTACTTTCTCCGCAAAAACTACCACCAAAAAAAAAAAAAAAAAAAAAAAAAAAAAAGATAAAAAAAAAGCCCACGTATATGAACAGAAACAGATACAAATTACACAAACAAACAGAGAAGAAGCTAAAGAAAGAGATTATAATGAATAGTACGTACTTTTTGCTAGAAAGCCGGTGGCACCAGTGATTAAAATGGACTTGTTTTCAAGAAACTTGAGGACACTTTCCAACTCCATTGGAGAAGATTAGAGAGAGAGAGAGAGAAAAGAATGTGAATACGAAAAAGGGTAAGCTCAAAAATGAGAATCAAGAGAGAGAAAGAGAGAGGAGAGAGAGAGAGAGAGGAGTGGAAGAATGTGAGAGCATGAGGAGGAGGGGGGGTACTGAAGGGCAGTTCATATACTGGGGAAGATGGCGGGGACAAAGGCAATTATGAGGTGGAGTGTACGCAAGTAGTTAGTGAATAGTTGGCGGAATTGTTCCCACTTTCCTTTCGCCTATTTGAATGAAACACGAGAGAAAATGTTTCTTCAATTACGGACGGTTCTCTGGTATTGAGCAACTTACAGTTGGTATTAATTATATGTAACTTAAGTAAATATTTCTATAAAAAACATATATATATATATAAGTTTAATATATATATATATAAATGATATATTGAAATTATAAAATAAAATGAAAATTACACGACGGATGCCCGTAGTTTCCATGGTATCAATTTCGAGGTTAGTATTTTTGGTCGTTTCAATAATGTAAGTTACATGATCAATTGTATGTTATGCAAGAAATGAATAGACAATCTCGGACTGATCTAGTGGATGAGGAGTACTCTCCTGAAAATCTAAGCCTTAACATGATGCACCATAAATCAACAATCGCATGCTCGCTCAAGAAAATGCTGAAATTGTTGCTTCGAGTGTTAGCAACCAACAAAATAGTCTCCTAACTGAGTATGGACTAAATGAGTGGATACCCAATATTAACCCAATTATGTTTATTGGGAGCCTAATGAGACAGTATATAAAGAAACTTAGGTTATGGTCCCCAATACGTCAAATCATTTGACTGTTTTCCTTCTTCCCCATCTAGAGAGAAAACACCCCATTCAAGAATCTGGTGATTTGACTGAGGAAGACAATAACTTGACGTGCTCATTGTCTTAAAAATTTCTACTGGAGATTAAGGTTGCACCAATGGAGACAGGTATTTGTTCAACCATATTTTCTTAGTAATTTGGTATGATGATTCCTGGAATATGGAATAAGAATTTAAAGATCCAACATCTAGTTCTTGAAAAAAAAATATATTGTGAGGTTTAAAAATACTGAGGAAAAAATTAAGCAATAATTCAGAGAAGAAAACTTCATCCTATTAACTTAAAACTTGTAGCGGAATGGTTTTAAGATGATAAAATGAGAAAATCTTAGATTTTCTTCTAGGTTAATTCCTTTTTTCCCCTCCTTTTTGTGCACAACTTTTTTTTTAAATTATTTTTCTAATTCTGCCCTTAAAATGTTAAATACGTCATCTTGATTGAGTTTTTTTTTTTTTTTTTTATAGTTAAAGTCATCTTGATTTAGTATATGTGTATATTATGTCTTTTAACAAAATATATATCCCACTTAAAGAAACCACGTAATAGCGTGTGTTTCCCATGTATTATTTTTATACTATAGCACATAATCCATATAACAAGGCTTGTTAAAGACGTAATGGAAAATTTTGGTCTAAATTTTCTCAACAGTTTTGGAGGAATGTCACCTACACGAACCCACTCTCCCCTACACAATTGATGGCCATATTGACCATAACAAAATACCGGGAAAGAGTAATGTTAGATACATATATAGGTCTAACCAGCTATCATCTCTGCAAATATTATAAAGTTTGCAATTGCATCCTTCCTTACAGTTCTTACACCTACATTCACCTACTAATCCAATCTACATATTATACATACATACATATATACACACACATTTGACATACGCAGTCAAGAGCAATAAAGTATTTAACTCTCATTAGAAATGTTAGCGCTATTTTTTTTTACTCTCAGTCACTTTTTGCATTTACTGTTTGACACGTGAACTCCACTGATATAATATGTTATTATTTAAACAGAAAATAAGATAATAAAATTAATATGTCAAACAGTAAATACAGAAAAGATTGCACAATTAATACGTATAACAAAGGGTAATAATGTAATATAACGTAGGGATGTGTGTTTATATATGCCTTAACTATTCACATTTTAAGTAGTTAGGTTTTGCAGCCACCCTCATTATGATATTATTTAACCTAAGTAATAAATCCACCTATATCCCTAGTTACAGTTTCTTTTGAAATTTCTCTCCAAGTTTTCTCTTCAAATCAAATAAATACGAATTTCAAAATAAAAATATCCTAGCTTATTTTTTTGCTAATTGTTAGAAAACTCCCTTTGTGTTTTTATCCTAGTTTTTTCCGCCCGTCCAAGTGACAACTTTTTCTTTTCCTTTTGACAGATACCCTAATTATGTAAGCATGATGGCATAAATCAGAAGATATCACATGACATGTAAATATATTATATATGTATACACGCACATATATACATTGTGGCCTCGTTCACTTCACCGATTCGAGTTTTAAGTTTCTACAGTAAAAAGCTCTCAGAAAATGTCACGTCTAACTTTTTCTGCTACAGTGAAAAGCTCTCAGCAAATGTCACATCTCAACTCGAATTGAAAACTCGAATCTGTGAAGTGAATGAGGCCTCAGTATATGTATATATACTTTCCCCATTCCCTTGTATTCTTCACCTTGAGCTGTTGAATCTTGATCACCAAGTAGGCCTCCATGCTTTTCGGTGACATGGGACAAAGGGTCCAATTTGAGATTACTTTTGGAATTTACAAAAACACTTTGCACGTGAGATTATTTTATTGGTGTACGTTTCTTAAGAGTGCACAAAAACACGCTTTATGAAAATACCAATTATGGACTTTTCTTGTTTGTTGCTGAACAATTATTTACTTCTTTTTGAGTAAGCGGAGAGAGCAGGGAATCAGTAGAGAAGGTGGCTTAGCATATTCGAATTAGGTTGGCGCTTACTAAACAACTCGTTCTATATTAAACTAACAAATGCTAACAACATAGAAATAAAAAAGAAAAACGAGAAATAACCGAGTATAAAATTAGCAAACGAAAACAACCTTCTTAATTGTTTATACTAACTATCACCAATAAGGCTAGGTATTGAACTACGTGGCAACAAACCTTGAGAACCCTAAGAGGAATTAGAATATGAAATATCTACTATCGGAATCAAAGGAGATCATTATTAACCTCATGATTAACTATTTTTCCTTCACCAATTTGTTTGTTATTCTCATTAGAAGATATAATTGACCATATGAATATGATGGCAAAAAATTAGGTAAATTTTCGTATTCCACAATAATAAAGAAAAACTATATATATAAAAGATTACATTTACAGATAAAAAAGACAATTTAAAGTTGGTTTAAAAAAAAATTAAGATTAGAGACGGTATCTCTAACACTACAATTTTTTTTTTTTTTTTTTTTGTCATGGGTGAGGTATAGCAAATCATGACCACCGTCCCACACGTGTCATGTCCAGATGAAGTTAGCAACTTCTTCTGTGATAGTAACGGCCTTGTACAATATTTTGTACGCCCTTCAGATCTTCCCTCAACTTTACCACACTTTTTTTTTGTGAACAGTGTACACTCTATTATGTAATTATGTTTGGTAATCTTACATATTGCCTTCAAATATTTCTGCTATTTCTTTTTTTATTTCATATTTTTGACTTTCAGAATTTCTTGTGATCATAAAATTGCCTCGTGATATTCATATATATAAAACTTTTAATGTTTTGAGTCTGTGAATCACCCCACTTTGTCCTTTTAATGATTTTGTCTTCTTTTTCTGGAAATATTGGACCTGGTAATGTTGAGGGTCACATTTTTTTTTTTTTTGTTTGATAATCCCGTACTGCCATTATAATAATGTAAAATGACTCCGCCTTTTAAAGGGAAACAATAAAACATTTTTATGGAGTAAATAAGTGGTCTATCACTTAAAAAAAAAAAAAAAAAAAAAAAAAAAGAGTCATCCTGTCCTAATCGTAAGGTATTATAGGTCATTAATCAAAACCGTGAAATTAAAATCAAATAATTCATAGTGTATAGGGTTAATTAGAATGAGCATTTTTGAATGTTCATTACATCCTCTTTATGAACGCCGTATAATTTAAATATTAAGGTTAATTTCAGTTGTCCCTATCCCTATATTGTAGAATGTTCTCCACTATATAATTTCCCGTAAATATTAGTCACAAGAGAAATATAGGTGAGATGAGATAAAACTCAGCAAAAAAGGGGGTAAGATGTTGTAATAGAATTAATTATTAAACGATATATACTCATTTATTTTTCAGTTGAATATTTACAAAAGAGTAGTTTTATATGATGTATTTTAATTTTTTTCATATTCGTCCTTTTTATTAATTCTCAATAATTTGAAATGTGTAAAATAATATATATTTGAAATTTGCAAACACGCTATATATA